GTATTATTTAGTGTGACTTTAGAAACCATTTATTTTCCCTTCTCCTTAAGGCCCAAACAGCTGAAAGTCATAGACCTTGTCTTTCTGGAAAGAGAATCAAGTCTTATTTTATCCAATATAAACTATTGTTACCTTATTACTTTTAAATCTCAAAAAGTTTCCTATTTCTATAGAAAATAACCTATAAGCTTTTCAAAATTTTGAAGTTTTTACTTTGAATGCTCATTGGTCAAAATATTCATTTGTACTTATGAAAAAGTTGTATACAAATTCATAGTTAGACTTACCAAAATGAACTATTTTAGCATTCACAGCAGAGCACTGTGGACAAATATCCAAATATCAAAGGCAAATATAAAGACACAGAAAATGGGAAGTAGAAATCATTTCTGGTGTTAAATTTCACTTTCAGATGTGAGAGACCCCATTTTCAAAGCACAGGACCTTGTGTCATTCAAGACATAAAGACATGGTGTTCATATTACACAGAAGAAATTCATTAGACCCTTCAGTGAGATTTGGAAAGCTTGTGAAGAAGTCACACTGCCACTTTATTTGAAATTTAATTAAAAAGTGAATATAAAACCAATGATGCAAGCATGGATGTGGTGGCGCACACCAGTAACCCTAGCACTTGGGAGGCTGAGGCAGGATGAGCCTTGTGAGTTCTAGGCCAGCCTGGGCTATATGGCAAGACCCTATCTCAAAAAAAAAAAAAAAAAAAAAAAAAATCAAACATAAAACCAATGATTACCAAGAACCAACATTAGAATTAGATTGGATTAACTTCTGATTCTAAGTTTGGGCCTTTGAAAACCTGCATCTGGACATTGTTATTAATCATCTATATAATACAAACTATCCCAAAGTGCCCTTATTCTTGTGTATAATTCTAGTTTACATTATTTCTGATATATGAAATTTGTCACTGCTACTTACTATACATTTGAAAACAGGATAATACATTCAAATATGGCTTATTCTGTGGTTTTAGAACTTGAGGCCTACTTTCCATTTCCAGTCTTTCTGGGAACTCCAGGGAAACCGGAGACAGAAACTTTGATTCTCCGTACCTGATGTTGGCTCAATAACAAAGGCTTGGTGAGACTGGATCAGAGTGACCTGGAACTCAAAGTCCACAGGGCAGCTGCACTGCAAAGGAATAATGTAAGTTTTGCTGCAAGACAAACAAACAAAAATGAGGCATATTATTTTTCTTTATAACTAGCTCTTCTAGCAGTAAGGAATAGAGATTAAATTTGTGTAATAAATGACATGACAACAGCCGAGGTCAATCCTGCTTGTCCTATATGCCAGGAGTGGGCCCACACACATGGCTCATGCATTAATTGATTTGGTTCTATGAGGTATGTTATGTTAGGTTTTTTTTTTTTTTTTGGTGGTGCTGGGGATTGAACTCAGGACCCTGCACTTGCCAGGCAAACACTTATTCTGCTGAGCTATCTCCCCACTCCTATGAGGTATGTTATCATTATCCCCACTTGCACAAGGTTGAATCTGTCTGGACAAGGTGCCTGGCTGGATATTGGCAGAACCTGATGTGACTGAGGTTGACCATTTCTGGCATCCATGCCCCCAACACCCTTGTTAATGCTACCTCTTGAGTGCCATTGGGTTGATCTTGCAGACTCAGATCATGTGGAAGCAGTAATTCTGCTATACCTGGGGCCTCAGGAATCTGGGAAACCCTAAATAGATGGGCTTAATAGAAAGCCTGGAGAGCCCTTGACCTTCACAGCCTGGGACTAGAGAGTGTAGAAAAAAATGGTGCTTTGGGTTGTGTTGGATTGAAATACACTACAGACTGCTCATTCAGAAGTCCAGCAGTCATGAGCGAGCACAGAGAGGTTCTGTGTACTCAGAAATGCTCCAGCACCCCAAGGCGAAGCTGTCTTCCAAGCAAGTTTCAACTGTCACGTCTAGCTGTGGAGGAGCTGTGGCAGAAGCACATTTGTCGGAGAGCCCCATGTTTCCCATAAGGTGCCTCCTTCCACCACGGCAAGCCCAGGAGAGCTACAGATGGCAGCCTGAGCATGGCCTGAGGCAGCAGAGCTCTGCAGGGGTTGCTTGGCATCTGCATGGCCCTTGCGGCAGGTTCTCTGGCTCCCTATCAGGAGCAGTCACAAGCCACATCCCTGCATTTCTCTGCACCTTGGCCCATCTCCGCTGGCCACAGCCAACTTCTCCCTTTTCTTCTTTCTTTTCTTTCTTTCTTTCTTTCTTTCTTTCTTTCTTTCTTTCTTTCTTTCTTTCTTTCTTTCTTTCTTTCT